CCTTCCTTCCTTCCTTCCTTCCTTCCTTCCTTCCTTCCTTCCTTCCTTCTTTCCTTCCTTCCTTCCTTTATTGTGCAAACCCAGACAGCCCATTGATGCCACACACCATGCATTCCCAGAAAATGGGTGAGTTTAATAACCAAGTTAAACCAACTGTATGAACGCAGACAGTGAGCCTTTTGCCACACTGATATGTATGGAGCTAAGCATCTGGTTAGCTTCACCTTGAGGGAACCTGGCTTGATTATTTAAACTGTGATAAGTTCCTCCCAGTTTCTTTTTCAAGAGAAGGAAATGGGAATTTCCCAAAGAGCGGAAAATTGGGAAAGTCATCGACATTTTCTTCTCACCGCCATGGTTTACAAGCGTGTGTGTTTGCTTTAAACACCCCTAAGAAAACAATACTATGTTCTGCAGCAAAGTTCTCTAAACTGGTTTTACAACCTGGCAAATGATGATCAGCTGAAAGAACAAGCAGGTTCCTGCTGGGAGGAAGCACAACCAATTCAGGGCTGGGAACGGCTGGAATCCTGTTGCTACCAGCGTTGACCGATGGCTTTCATGGCACAAGGCGCTGAAGAAGGTGAGCAACGTTCAAGAACATGAATGCGGTGAGTCTGTTTCAGAGCACAGAAATGTTAACCACTTCTTAAGACCTCCTGCATTTCCACACTAAACACAAATTCTGATAGGAGTATTTTTGCACCATTTGCACAATCTGCTCCTTCCTGCTGTCGGATAGGGCAAAATTGTCTCACAGGGCACAATTTTGCTCTAGCAAAACTTGATCGAGGGTGACTTCATTTGTGGCTGGATTCACATAACGTCTACTAGAGTTTATCTCTCAGGTTGCAGAGAATATTTTAAAGAAAATTAGAAGCGCTTGGAAGAGGTGTTGTGGTGACTTTTTTGCATCCAGAACAACAAAGTGTGCGCATTATGGCCAGAAGAACCAAAGTGTACAATGACCATTTTTTCAAACTGTAGCTGGCTCTCAAAAAAAGACATCTCTTTCTCTAAAATATTATACAGTAAAATCTATGTCAACCAAAATAGGACCAACCCATAAAAATAAGTCAGGGAACTCGCAATATTACAGCTGTATTCTCCCAGCTCCCTTAGCCTGATTGTTGAATTACTCCATTTGCTGAGTTTGCACAAAATATTGAATCTTAAAGCACAAATCTCCCCTCCCCCCCACAACTAGCCAAGCTTATCACTAACCAAGTTTCGCACATGGTCCCAATGAAGTCAGTAGATCTTTACCTACCATGGTTAGGTCTCCTGTGTGGACACAGCCAGTCCATTCGTCAGCTCCTTGAGAAGCAAAAAGTTGGCTCCCTGTCCAATTTTGAGTCACAGTTCTTCATCACCAGACAAACATCTCAGTGCAACAATAGACAACGACGAATCCTAGCATTTATTTCTCTCTCTTACTCTGCTATCAAACCACTATCTGACCAGCCTAGCTAGAGCTTCCAGGGCAGCTCAAATTCTTCTGGTGGTAAAGTTCTTCCGTGTGTGGTCTCCACGTTCTTCAGGTGCTTCTTGGCCAAGAACAAAGCCATATGTTTCTTCCTTGCAGAAGATAAGTCACTCCCAACTTTCCATGGGAATTCAGTCTTCTGTCCAAGGCTGGATTGGTAGCTCTTCAGTTGATGGAGGCACCATTTGTCATCAACCCTATAGAAATGATGATAGATGAAGCTTTCTACTTGAGGGCAGTCAGCAGTGAGCAACTGGCAGACCACTTCCTCCACTCCGGAGATGATGTCAGGGTAACGGCACCTTAAGATCTGCAGGAGCAGCTCATTGGCTCTGTTTGTCTGGACCATGGGGAGGTGGTTCTCCAGATGGAAGTGGGTGCTGGTGATTTCATCCAAGGTCCTCCTAATGAGCAGCACTGGCCCTTGATAATGGCACAGCATATCAGCCACATTGAGGTTGAAGTGCTCTCTGATGGTCTGGAGCACCAGCTTCCTCAACTTCTTAGCCACAACCTTGGCAGCCAGAGGGAGCAAGCTGTCAAAGGAGGCATCGAGGACCAGTGCTCCCAATTCTGGATAAGCCATGGCAGCCCACGTAGCAGTATAGCTGCCTAAGGAATAGCCATAGATGGCAATATCCTCCAGGCTGAAATTCAGACGGTGCATGGCGTACCGGATGACCACGTCCATGGCATTGATGTCATTCTGTGGATAGGGCTTCCCTGAGCTCCTGGCAAAACCAGGGTGGTTCCATCCCAGGACAGAATACCCGGCCTTCAACGGGGTGATGAAGCAGCCCACTTCGTAAAAACTGCCATTCCCTTCACAGCTTATCACCAGCTGCTTCCCAAACCTCTTCCCTCTCCTGTCCACAAACATTGTGTCAATCTCATTCCCATCGCGAGCAACCAGTTTGGCCCGTTTCCCATGAAAATTCTCCATTAGGCGTGTCCTCCCATTCACCAGCAGAGTCAGCGGGACTTTGTTCAAGAGATACACAGAGCCAGGGTAAAGGAGCCAGCGGCCAACCGTGTGAGCCAAGGTGTACCTGATCCAGCTGTTGGACCCATGCTTCATTCGGCGGAGGATACTAATTTTGGCCTTCTTGGCCTTTCTGTCCTGGACAGCTGTGGTCATGCCTGACAGGTGGCTCTCATGACTCCTGTTGCTGTCCTCACTGCTGGTACTTCTGCTGGTCTCATCCCAACAGTATTCAACCGGCCACTTCTTGAATGAATAACTGTCCTTGATCATCAGGCACATCCAAATTTTGAAACACATGACTGAACTCTTAAGTGATGTCCACAGAATAGCATGAGATAAATGAAAGGAAGTTGGCAGGGAAGAAGGGATGGCCAACAAACTGGGCTGGATACTAGTCTGGGAATGAGGAACTTCCCTCAGCATTTAACCCCAAAGTGGATGTAGCTATTGAACCATGTTAGAACATCTTGAGGTCACCAACTCCCAGTTGGTACTATATAAAGGGAGGCTAGTACTATGCAAAGGGCAGAGGGCATTTCCTTTGAGAGTCCTCCTGGTCAGGGAGAGGTAATAATCAGCCAGGCCAACCTCCCTTTGTGAGCAATTTCTCCTCTGAGGACCTGTTTGAGAGTGCCATGGGGTCCTATTAACATCTACCCCAGATGCAGTGTCCCTCTCTAGTGGTACTAGATGGGGGGAAGCAGGTTAGTCTCCCCCCCGTTTGGCTGCAGAAGTTTTCGTGGCCCCACAAACTGTGTTTGTTCTTATAATCAAGAGGTCCTAGATTCAAGAACTTCTCAATATAGGGTTCCCCAGAGCTGGCCATGTTCCGCTGAACCACCTTCAGCTTCCTTTGATGGTTGCCACCTCAAAAGGAAGCTGAAGTACAGGCCGCCATCCTCGTGCACTTCCTTTGCAAATGGCAGAAATCCTGTGAGTTTTTTAAAAGTGGCCCCAATCTTGGCAGATTCTGGGGCTCTCACTTCTGCAATCTTATCTGAGAACGTGAACATCTCATGGGCTTTCGTGGTTTCCTCAGATTTTGGCTGTTCGTTTGTTTGGGTTTTTTTTAGTTTCAAATGCCTTAGTTCCTTACAGAGTGTCCTGCTCCCTATTCAGATGGATTCCCAATCTTTGTGATTTCTGTTTTGGGAACTCGGCACTGCTCCCGTGTCTTCTGCCAGCCTTGTCATATGGGTTAGTGAGAAGCAGTCTCTTTCTCTGCTCTCAGATGCATGATAACCAGGAGATCGGTGGGGTTGCCATAAGCAGACCTATTCTGGAAGGGGAATTTTTCCGGAACAAATCTCCTTGCATCAGATGTGTGGCCTTGCACAGTCCTGCATCCTCTTCTCTCCCTTTCTTTTTGAGAAGTTGCATGGCTGTAATTCCTACAAGGCTGAGTAGATTATCAAAGGCAGGGCTGTTTTCCCTGCTGTTTCTTGTACTGCTGCTGTAAATTTCCTACTGTTAGCTGTGCCTATCAGTAAAGGTCCTCTAGCAACCATCAGCAGGAGTAATGCAGTGTTTCTCAACCTTGGCAGCTTGAAGATGTGTGGACTTCAACTCCCAGAGTTTCCCAGCCACCATGTGTGGACTTCAACTCCCAGAATTCCCCAACGACCATGTGTGGACTTCAACTCCCAGAATTCCCCAACG